ATGTTTTGACTCAAGTCCACAACTTTGAAACTTCAAAATGTTGTCAAAATGGACTCAAATCTATACAAATAGAGATGTAGTGAACGAGTGATTGTTAATTGCGAGTAACCGGTGGTTAAAGTTGAGGTCAACTAGTTTTTTAAACACAATCACAAAAGTGTTCAACTCTTATGTAACCAAACCTTATGTAATGTTAAGTAAACATTCAAACCGTGCGCTTTTGAAGGTGCAATGCAAATGAGCAAGATCACCAAAGTGCACACACCTACTATTTGATTGATCACATGCTATCTACTGGATCTACTGGACCCGATCTTCAGTCAGTGACACTGCACTCAATGTGATTGTCTTTCTCTTATTAATCAATTGATTGTTGTTTACAATTGTTTTCAATACAAGTCAACAATGAATTGGTATTTAATTTGCAAATGTTTTGACAAAAACTTCAATTAATATCCAATTTATTGTTTAAAAGGTTCCCAAAAGAGCGCAACTATAAGACAGAACTTCTCGGGAAGTACTGTACGGCCAAAGAGGCGACCGATCATCCATTGAAGCCATTAGTTGTTAACCAAACGGAGTCTAAGAGATTAAAAGTAGACAACTCTTCGGTGGTCACCAAAATTAATGACGCGAAGCCGACCAACACTTCTTGGAATGGTTTGGATCCGCTTTCGATGGCTTTAAGCCTTCAAAACACGTCAGAAAGCAATTCATTGGATTCATCGCTAGAAATGAATAAAAATGCAAAGTCTTCGTCGAAAGACAATCAGACGACGGCTGACTTCATAGGCGAAGACTTCGAGGACTGGTCATCTACCAAGACTTCGATACTTAACAAATACACCACTTCTGAGAGACTGTCAATTAAGACATCGTTTCTGATGGTCGGCGCCTCGGGTTCGGCCATAAGTGGCAGCACTTCTGTTGTGAGGAGTTCTGCGAATACGTCGGTTGCGGACAAAGTTCGTCACCGATTGGAACAATTGGATGACTTCGAAGAGGGTTCGGTCAAAGAGATGCTGAACTTGACTCAAACCGAATACGTTAACCGAATCGACGAATTGAATGTCGCTTTATATGAGTCCTGGAATTCGGACCAAAGAGTGAAGGCATTGAAGATCGCTATCCAGTGCTCCAAACTGTTGGCCGACACGTCTGTCATTCAATTCTATCCCTCGAAGTATGTCTTAATTACAGACATTTTAGACAATTTCGGTTCATTGGTCTACAAGAGGATCCACTGTAAGGCGGGCTCTACCGTCGCGGCCATAGAGTCGGCCCGCGAAACGTGTCGAAACTGGTTCTACAAAATAGCGTCCGTTCGGGAACTGATTCCCCGTTTTTATGTCGAAACAGCGATATTAAAAGTGTACGGATTTTTGATCGACAAGAATGAGATCCAATCGGAGTTCGAGAAAGCGTTGAATCGGTTGACGAAAATGATTCGCGGAATCGGCGACCCATTGGTGGGCGTCTACGCCAGAGCCTATCTCTGCAGAATCACTGTTCAAATCGCACCCAAATCTAAACACATCTTTCAAAACAACTTCAATGACTTTCTTCACTCACTTAATCAGGTATTGTATTGAATGGTCAGTCATAACGAGTTCCTAAACTAATTGTGATTTATTTATCATTATATCGATAGTTGTCCATCACTTTCACACAACAAATACTAACCGCTCAACGAATAGATTATTCGGTGTATTATACACTGTATAGTCCGGCGTTGGATTGGATCGTGTATTGTATCGCATATAAGGCCTCAACAGGTCTTCTCATTGACACAATTCAACAGTTTGAACACAACTCCAACACTAATCTTGACGACAGCTGTTCCGCACTTATACTCAATTCACTTCTCACATGCTTTCCGTCGCAATTGATTGCTTCAAAAGCTATCGATTTTCTCGATTTAATCAAAAGAGTTAATAAAGATGTGACGAAAGATACGAACGGAAAGTCATCATCGGTTGGCGATTCGTCCGGTTTTCCTAAATATAGTTTAATACGAAATTTAGGCATTGCTTTGGTTTCAAAACACAATCTGTTGGTAGAGTTGGAAGAGAAGGAAAAACTTCAGATTCTGAACGAAGTGTGGAGACTATTGAATAAATTCAAACACAACACCGAATACATGGCTTGTGTTGAGGTGTGGATTGAATTCGTTGTCAAACATTTTACTCTTCGAGAGATTAATACACTATTGGGGCAAATAATTAAGCGAATGCAACCGAACCGTGCGTTTGAACAGCACTACAACCAATTGGTTGGTCTCATGTCAAAAGTGGTCACTTTGAGTCCGAACACAGACTTCGCGGCTTTGTTTGCGATGAATAACTTTATGCCGTTTTTGGATTTGCTTCAAAAAGAGTCGGTCAAAGTGGACGCCTGTAAAGCGATTGTCGAATCATTTATTAAAAACTTTAATAATTCAGTTCACGACGAGGACGAAGACGTGATCACCACATCGGATCCCGTTATACTTAACTCAATGACATATCTATGCAAAGCATTGCACGATTCGGTGAATGCGCTCACTCTGGAGGACGAGAGAAGACAAATCTCTCATTTAGTCATTTCTTTTGTGAAACGCGTGTCGTTTGGCGGAGACTTTGAATCGGAATTGAATTTTTACGTGGACTCGAGGGCCAACTTCTGTAATCTGGAATCAGTTCTTTGCTTTTTGGTCCAAAGAGTTAATACACTGGCGATGGAAACGAGACGTATTGTGAAGGGATTCCACACCAAGAAAACCAACTCATTTGTGAGGGCATGTATTGCCTACTCTTTCATTACCATTCCCTCACTCGACGACGTGATACTTCGCCTTCAGCTCTACTTATCGAGTAGTTATGTCTCTTTAATCAATGGATGTTTGCCCCAAACGGACTCATTTCTCAAAACAGCCATAACATTGATTCAACAGTTACCACAATATATTGACTCGAGTGATGGTCGGCCCAAATCTACGGATCCATTTCTCTTGTCATACACCTCCCAATTGCTGTCATTCCTATTGATAGTTCC